TATAAATAAATATTATAATATGCTTGTAGAACAAGTTCTGTGATTTTAGTCAAATGCTAGTGCAAACAAAATAACTACTATATCTATAAAAATATCTATAAAAAATACGCATCTATATAGATATTTTAAACTATTTTTTTAATATTTTAAAAATAAAATTTACTACATTAAAGTTTTACAATTTTTAGATCTATTTTTAATACTTAAACTATGAAGGATAGAGTTTTTAATACTTACATTTTCAAGTAAAGAATAATAATTAGAATGTTTAAGAACCTCGTAACATTTTATTTTAGCTTAAATTTTAGTTCTACACATAGATCAAATATTTATATTAACTGCCAAAAATGTGTTGTAGAGAAAACTCTTTTAAAATAATAAAATTTACAAAAAGTAATTCAAAGTATGAAGTTATGTAGAATAAACATAACATTTTATATTAAGTATATCATTGAATGTAAGTAGATTATGTTAGTAGTAATAATTAAATGGTTAGCAACCCCAATAATAACTAAATTTATTTATTCAACTATTATAAACATTTTTGTTTGTTTTTAAAACAATATTTTTATCACAAATATTTAGACATTTGACATCATAACTAAACATTATATAATTGTATACTGCACGCGTATATATTTACATAGAGAACTCATTATCAAATTTCGGTATGAAACTTTGAAGATTTACAAAATTTGTTTTCTTCTACCTTCTGTATGCATTTCTTAAATGTTTGGTATTAGTAATTTTAATACATGGAATAGTAACTATAATGTGAAATTAGCACTGATTTGAAAGGGAATTATCAGTTACTATTTAGTATTAACATATAAACTATTTAGTACTAAAATATATAATCCTTACTAGTCAAGGTTGCTTGGCCAATTAAAAGAAAAGAATGAAACTACTTAAGTTTAACAAAAAATAAATCAGATTTTAGGAACCTTCCATGTATCTGGAAGCCCTTATATGAAATGGTTGGTAATCATTAAGATTTAGAAATGTTTACTTAGAGTGATATTTTTTTTTTGAAATTGTGCTGATTATTGAGATTCACCCTTAAAGTACAAATTGTTTATGTATGTGTATAATGTACGTTTTATTGTATTTCAAAAGTACATAAATTTCAATTAATTTATTGTAAAAAAAATTCTAATGTTTAAAAAGCAAACAACGATTAGATTCGAAAAATCAATGAAAAATTATTAATGTATTAACGTAAACAAAATGCTTCCTTGTTATATGCATCAAAATTACGAAAATGATTCGCCACGCAGTTAGTAATTTTAATCTAAGGATTTCTTATGTGTGCCTATAACTACAAACAAACATTTTTTTAAAGAAGAGTATGAATTAATTTTTATTTCTAAACAACAACAAAAAATCATTTTTTTGACAACAAATAGGAGAAATAAAATTTCTGATATAATTTATATTGCGAAAGGATTTTCAATTTCATTTATGTGAAACTCAATGAACTCAAGAAGACAAGAAGATGAAAGAATTCTTTGTCCAAAACTAAAATAAAAGATTATGTTTCTTTGAACAAAACACTCCAAATACATGATTTATGAAGTTAAAAAAAAGTAGATAGAGCTTTTCTTTTCCCAGAGGAGCTGAATATTTTCTTGACTTCAGACTCTCAATACAACCGTATAAATTCCAAAACTAAACAGATGTGTCATGCTTTCATCATAAATAGTTCCGCCCTCTCAGTTATTTTCCCAACTCTTAAATCATTTCTATTCCCAACAGACTCTGAAGTTTTTTGGACATAACACAAACCAATTTTTTGTCTATACTGAATCAGTAATATTTCAATTTATAACAAACACTGCACATATAGTTTGAAGACTCGAAAAAAATATTATTTTGAGAGAGTGACATTAAAGGAGAAAATTTATATAAGGTGAATAAAATCATTATTTTATATTCTTGAAAAAAAAAGGATTTCTATAAAATGTCAGCATTTTTTTCTTGAAATTAAATTAATAAAAAGCATAAAATAGTTTTACCCTCTCAGTTGTTTTTTTTCCTTTCAAAATCACTTCTATTCCCAACAGACTCTGGTGTTTTTTGGACATAACACAAAGCAATTTTTTGCCTATACTGAATCAGTAATATTTCAATTTATAACAGACACTGCAAATATAGAGTGAAGACTCGAAAAAAGTATTATTTTGAGAGAGTGACATTAAAGGACAAAATTTATATAAGGTGAATAAAATTATTATTTCGTGTTATTGAAGAAACAAATGAATTTCAATGAAATGTCAAAATTTTTTCAAGAAATTAAATTAATAACAATCATAAAACAGTTTTACCCCCTCAGTTGCTTTTTGCCATCAAAATCACTTCTATTCCCAACAGACTCTGGTGTTTTTGAACATAACACAAACCATTTATTTTTTTGCCTATACTGAATCACTAATATTTCAGTTTACAACATAAGATGGATATATAGTTTTAAACTTGAATGAATATTATTTTGAAAAAATGACATAAAAGGAAAAAAAAATCTGGTAAGATGAAGAAAATGATTATTTTATATTACTGAAAAAACAAATGGATTAAGAAAAATAATTGTAATATTTTTTATTAAGTTTAATTAAGGACAACCATAAAATAAGATAACATAAATCTTTATAAAAGAAGATAATGTAAACATATCTTATTTTCTAAACTTTTGTCCATAACACAAACCAATATTTTGTCTATACTGATTCAGTAATATTTTAATGAAAAACAAACATTGCAAATATAATTTGCATACTTTTAAGTCTTGAACGAAAAAAAATAATAATAGAGAGAGAGATGGAACGGAAAACATTATTATATGAATAAAATAAAATGATTATTTTATATTGCTTGAAAAACAAATAAATTAAGAGAAAATATCAGCTAAATTTTTATGAAATTTAATTCATGACAATAGGTATGGTTTTTTCTCAGTTGTTTTAAAAACCTAAATTATATTTGTTCATAACAGACTCTGACCAAATTTTTGTTGATACTGAAACAATAGTTTCTAAATAGCACGGCAACAATATTTTGAAAACGTAAACAGAAAAGAATGTTTTCTTTTAAAATTCAAATGATGCAAAAGGAAGAAAAAAATGCTAAGGTAGAGAAATAATTATTTTATGTGGATTAAGAAAAAACAACAAAAAATACTAACAAAAAAATGGATGAAACAAATGGATTATGAAAAAATGTATAATAAATAATAAATGCAAAATAATAAAAAAAATACTTCTCAAATGTTTTTTTTTATATTTTAAACAAATTTACATTCCTTACACTATCTTTGATGATCAGTTACTTTCTCATCCCTTAAAAATCATTTCTGTGAACAGAGTTTAAAGTTTTGGATATACTACAAATCAATTTATTGTCTGCATTGAATCTGTAAAGTTTTAATTTATAATATACCCTGCGATCAGAATTTGAAAGTTTATTGGAAAACAAATGCTTTTCAGTAGTATATTATTTAATATTAAAATGCAAATAAATTCCTCATAAATTATGCTAAAAAGTAAAGCCACTGAGAGTATGCGACAAAGCTTTTCATCATAATTTCATCTGCCATGACGAACTGCACGGCCATAACGAATTGATTAAGAAAAATGTTACATATTTTTTCATTAAATTAAGTAAAAAGGTAGGCAGGGAAAATAACGGGCAGTCATATAAAAACCACATTTATCCATACTGGATTACTAATACCTCAATTTAAAGCAAATACTGCAAACATAGTTTTAAACACTTGAACAAATAATTTATTTGAGGATT